ATATATATATATATATATATATATATATATATATATATATATATACCACATCTTCTTAAGCCAATCGTCTGTTGATTGGTACTTGGGTTGTTTCCATGTCTTGGCTATTGTAAATAGTGCTGCTGTGAACATTGGGGTGCATATATCTTTTCAAATTCAAGTTTTCATCTTTTCTGGATATATGCCTGGGAGTGGGATTGCTGGATCATTTGGTAGCTCTACTTTTAGATTTTAATGGAAACTTTTGGAGTTTTTCTCAAACCTGCTTTACTCTGAGTGTATCACTTACTGCTGACAAAAGGGTGCCCAATCTACCAGTTCTATATTCCTCTTCTAATTGGTGATTTCTTATCTGCTTAGATCTGAGGAAGTTTGTTATGATTGTGTCTAAACTAAAAGTGAATAAAGCTAAGCCTCAAGAGAGCTTCATATAGAGGAGCTTTGATGCTTAAACCAAAGACGATAAACTGCATCCTGGGGGCCAATGCAGTCTTCAGGGTGCATATGTGTGCATGCACTCGTGTCTTAAAAATTAGTTAATTACTTGATAATATTTAAAGAGTTTGGAAATTTTTTCAAATAATTCAGATTTCTCCTTCCTCTTCAAATATCTGAGGAGCTGGCAGCACTGGCCCCATTACCCCACGTTATTCAGGGCTGACTTTGAGAAGGAGGGGCTTGCTTTAGGTGGGGCAAGCACCTGAAGGCTCTTTACCACCATCTGCACCCTCCCTCAATGTCCACAACACTGCAGCCAAGTGTTTGCTGCCGCTCGTGAACTCACTAGCCCTGTTTTTCTTGCCCTCCACTAGCGTCACCAACTTTTTTCACTTACTTTTCTCGCTTACCTGCCTGTACACATTTGAGTGTGTGAATCCAGCCTACCGTGATGTGTGATCATTATTTTGGTTGCTGGGAGACCTTTTCTTGTTTACTGTCTGGGTCTGGCTTGTGGCCAGTGTTTGAGGTTGTCAGAATGACATCACCAAAGCCTTCGATGAGAAGCAGGATGGTGTAACCTTGGGAGAGATGAGACAGCCCTGATTCAATAGGCAGTAATTGTGCCGAAAGAAGCAATCAGAGGTAAAGGAGAACTCTGAGGACTTGGGAACGGGTCAGGCCCAGACTGTAGCCCCGCCCCTACAAGAAATCATTCACGTTTGCCTGAGACAGCAGCGGGGTAGATGCACAGCTCAAACGAGGTCAATGAGAGCTAAGGTGACTGTACAGGAAAAAATATCCCACCGTGTTCTCCAGAAGCCACCCCGCCCCCCATAGCCTAGCCTTTTGTTTTAAGGTTTGAGCCAAGCGAATTATGTGTTGTTAGTGGCTGTCCTTGTGCTGTCTCCTTGATTGTGACAGTAAAGGTTATCCTGGGGGCAGAGAGAGGCAGGGAGTGATACAAAATGTCCACTTGACGACCGTTTTCAATGTGTTAAGCCAACTAGAGTGAAGAGAGCAGAAATCCTGTCCTGGTTGGAAGTTAATAGCTTAGCCTGCCCAATTATTTGCTGGAAGAAAATTCCTGTTCAGTTGCCACAGATACCAGGCCAAACAAACCTACAGCTGGGCCAACCGCTAAAAAAGGCATCGCATTCTAATCTCTGGCTGTTCATCTAAATCATTGTAAATAAGGCAGAACAGACTAGAGAAGGGGTTTGGGATCCTGCTATTTTGAGCTGTTAATCACATTGTACCCCCTTCTCATTTGCAACCTGCTTTGACTAAATCATGATGAAAGATTTGTTGAGTTTGCTTTGCATTGGCATTGGGTCAGAGCTCCCCCTTGTAGGATCAAGGGTCGAGACAAAAGGCGGGGGAAAACCAACAGAACCTGCAATGAGAGCCCTTTGTGCCCACTTCCCTCTGCCTCTCCTCCCACATTCTGCTGATTCCTGCCATCTACTTCGCAGAAAAGGGTGTGGGTCTAGTAAGAACAAAGGGAACTGAAGGTATCAAAGCAGACTATTCAGTACTTCCCTTCATGAACCCACATTTCTACGATCGCCCCGCCCCCCAGGGGGGTGAAAGAAGATAATGATGGGGAAGGAAGTGAGTGAAATTTAACCTTCATTCTTTTAGAGTGGCAATAAGTCAACCCATCTGAAAGCCTTAAGGATGTAAATGTTTTTCTTTCCCATTGCTAAGAACAGAAATCAAAGTATCATTCCTTAACAGGGTCAGAAATGCTGGATGTTTTTCGAAAGGGCAACAATAATTGCTAATGCTTATTGAACAGATACGACCAGATACGTAAACCCTGAACAAGAGTTATCTCACTTAATGTTCTTAACAACCACGTGATATAGGAACCACTGTTATTTCCCATCTTGCAGACAAAGAACCTGATGCTTAGAGAGGTTAAGTAACTCTACCCTGCTGGTATAGCTGGTCAGTGACCAGCTGGGATTTGAAGCTAGTTAGACTGGCTCCAGTATCTGGACCAGGGAGCTGCAGAATTAAGGCTCTGGCTTCTATCTGGCTGAATGACTTTGAAAAAATCATTTGTATTGCTTTTAGTTTGCTCATCTGTGAAATACAGGGTTGTGTTAGGTGATCTTTAAGATCCCTGCCAACTCTTTGGGCCTATCTCCAAATCTGAAAAAAAATCGCACAACCTAAAAATTGAGAATTATGTTTTATTTGGTGGACATTCTGAGAACTTCAAGCCTGGGACAGCTCCAAAGAGGTCAGGGAGGAACCAGGATACACAGGAGTTTTTGCAACAAAGACCAGGTAGTTGGACGATCAAAATATTACTGTTAATTAAAGAAAACCAGGCATCTCAAGTAACTGAATTTAGCACTTTCCTATGTATGAGAAGATGCAGAAGTTTGGGCTCATCGAAATCATTCCTTTGATATGTACCTCAGCTCTCTGGGGCCAGTATCCTGTGCTTTCTCATCCTGAGTCTCCCCAGGGTGCACCCCTGGGGGTGGCTGCAGTAGCAGGCATCATGATGGCTTCATGGCAGGCATCCTGTTTCCATCTTGAGTTCCCTCAGGGCTCACCGTCAGGGGCGGCTGTCATGTGATGGCTTGATGGCTGCAACATCCTTTGTTTACTGATAGGGCAGGCAACATTTTCCATTCTCAGTCACATCCATGCTACTGTTGTCATTCATTAGTCCAGAGCTGTAGGACATGAAGGGGTGGTGTGGGACGGGAAGGGACACAGGGAGATTGCTGCGTTACACACCAATGTCTTCCTAACAGAAGCAGCTGCTTCAGTTGCCACGTCATGCCCAGACAGGTAGGAGAGTTGGGTTGACTGTGGGAGTGGGATGGGAGCAGGGCCACTTTTAGCTCCTGTGTCTGCCAGAGTTGATCCATTAGTTGGGCCAGTAACTTTCCTCCAGAAGCGTCCTTACCACGGGCATTAGTCTGCAACGCACTCCATGTTTGCTGAGCACTGGAGGCACCTGGCACAGGTGAACTAAGAGAAAGCATCTGCAGTGTGACCAGAACTGCTGGGCCTCTCTTCCTGGCTCCCCTGAATTACCCTGACGAGTACTTCCAGGAATTTTGCAGCAGCCCTGGAAGCCTTTGTTCTTTCTTCAGAGTAAGGAAGTGGGAGAGGGGGTTGGGTAGAAAGGAGAATCTTTTGAGTTCTACCAAACGACCTCTAATCTGAAGATGTCTGGCTTTTAAAGAGACCCAGTGGCTAGTCACTCCACATATGGTAGATAATACTGTGTCAGCAGCTCAAGTTATCTGAAGCTCTGCGTGAAATGGGAACCAACTCTTGCTCTCTAGGAACAATGAGTATCACCTTTCTCCCAGGGAGGCAAACTAAGGTGTGTTTATTTCATTTATGCCTCCACACCCACCCTTTAATGTCAAAAGTCACTAGATTCCTTCTACCCTCATCTCATGCCCCCAAGTGTGTAATTCTTATTTCCCTCTACTCACAGCCTGCACAGACATATATGTACTATGTAACATCATCAGATATTGTCTGATTTAATTCAGGGAACACCTACCTCTCTATCAGACTTTTTTTTTTTTTCCCTCGCCTCTGATAATCTTCTACTTAGGCATGTTGCAAGGGCATTTTTCCTTATCTGTGTCTGTATATGCCCAGAGGCAGAGGTAACACTGAAAGGAAAAGAAGTGGCAGAGAAACAGGAAGAGAAATAAACCCGAGAAGCAGAAGTCCAAAGGCTGTGGTTTGCAAGGACTGCTAGCGGGTTGCGGGGCTAACCAGAAAAATGAGAACCACTGAATTCGAAAAGGAAGGGGAAAGCCTGAGACGAGAAGGGAGATCAGATCAGAATAGATTGGATGGAGGGGATGGGTTAAAGCCAGAGAAACAGCCTGGGTGAAACGAGCCGTCATTCCAGACCAGAAGGCAACTTGCTAAGATCCACTGGCGTCTTGTATGCAAATGAGAAGGGCTTCCCGGAGGCTGGGCTGAGCCGGACGCATTCTGCTAGCAGCCGGGATTCAGCACCGAGGCTTGAAGACCAGTGCGCGTTAAGATGCATCTCTGGCCATCACCAAGAGAGGATGGATGCCACCCAGAAGCAGAGAATAAATGAAGATTAAAGGACCCGGGAAAAGGAAGCGCTCTTGAGAAACTGTTGAAATTCAAGATTGGCAAAGGAGGTTCAATTCCACCTCTTCACACTTGTGGTTTCAGGAATCGATGGTTTCTCAATCCCTGGAGAGAGACTCCTTCCCCAGGGAAGTGAAAATAATGAGCTTTTGGAGGTATTGTTTTTTTGCTTTCACGGTGGTCAGTGTGGTTATTTTTGTGTTACTTTACAATAGCCAATTAAGCCAGCCAAAAAGTTACGGGAAGCTGAATAGTTCCAATGAAAGGGATTTTAGGATGCATGCCTGTAATTACGCCTTAGAAGATAAGTCATCCTTTTTGTGGGAAAAGACACTGACATCACCTGTGGGAAGTGTCCCTTGCAAGGACTACCTGATCCAGAATCACTACATCACGAGCTCCCTGTCGAGAGAAGAAGCTGTGTTCCCTCTGGCATATGTCATGGTCATCCATAAGGACTTCAGTACTTTTGAAAGACTCTTCAGGGCTGTCTATATGCCCCAGAACGTCTACTGCATTCATGTGGATGAGAAAGCCACAACTCAGTTTAAGAAATCAGTGTGGCAGCTACTGAGTTGCTTCCAGAATGCTTTTCTTGCTTCAAAGGTAGAGCCTGTGGTCTATGCAGGAATTTCCAGGCTCCAGGCTGACCTGAACTGCCTGGAAGACCTTTTAGCTTCTGAAGTTCCGTGGAAGTACGCCATCAACACCTGTGGGCAAGACTTCCCCCTGAAAACCAACAGGGAGATCATTCAGTATCTGAAAAGATTTAAAGGGAAAAACATTACCCCGGGGGTCCTGCCTCCCAGTCATGCAATAAAGCGGACTAAATACGTCCACCGAGAGCACTTAGGCAGAGGTGGCTCTTTTATGAAAAATACTAATATTTTGAAAACCTCCCCTCCACACCAGCTGACCATCTACTTTGGCACCGCCTATGTGGCCCTTACCAGAGAGTTTGTCAAGTTTGTCTTCCAAGACCAAAGGGCCATTGATCTGCTACACTGGTCCAAAGATACCTTTTCCCCTGATGAACATTTCTGGGTGACACTTAATAGGATCCCAGGTAGGTACGAATTTCCATTCCCATTTTTTCTTATCCATGCTCAATTGAGTTTGCTAACATTCAGCTCCTCTTTGAAATTATTTGGAAAAAAAAAATAAATGCTTAGAAAGCTATTAGTCTGCTTGCTTTTTAGTGACAGTTTGCTGACAGGTCTACTGTCTTATGACTGTGCTATATAGAGATAGAATAAATATGCCGGGTTCCCAGAGTTCCAGCAAAACTACCTTTGAAGGTGTATCACATGGTTCCCGACCTTTGGCTCAGTCTTTTTTCTTTAAATTGAGGTATAATTGACATACAGTAGCTCAGTCTTTGGGATGAATGTATTTCGTAGTCCTTGATAAGCACAGCTATAACATAATGAGACTGATTTTGAATAAGCATTGTAGAATTTAGGAGTTGAAATAGGTAGTGTTTCTTTCAGAGGCTGTTACACAGTATTACACTGATGCTTAAAGTTCATGGGGGAGGTGGCGGGGGTGGGGGCACCAGGGACCGGTTTCTGCCTTTCGTGGAAGACAATTTTTCCATGGATGGGGTGGGGCGGTAGATGGTTCAAGCGGTAATGTGAGCGATGGGGCAGATGAAGCTCTCACCTCCTGCTGTGCGGCGGGGGGGGGGGGGTGGGGGTGTCTGTTTTCAGAATCTTTGACTCCTCTTTAGATGTTTCCAAATTATCACTGTGGCTTAAACGTTTTCAGTCTTAGGCCTGAACAGGTGTCCAGGTCTCAGCCGACTGGGTTCAGTAAATCTAGTCTGATATTTTATTGCCTGGAAGAATGGGTAACAGTGAGTTGAAACATACGAGAGAGATTCTAGCTGGAGTTGACCCAAAGTCAGTTCTCAATTTTTTTATTTTATTTTTATTTTTTAATTTTTTTATTTTTTGCGGTACGTGGGCCTCTCACTGTTGTGGCCTCTACCACTGCGGAGTACAGGCTCCGGACGTGCAGGCTCAGCGGCCATGGCTCACGGGCCCAGCCGCTCCGCGGCATGCGGGATCTTCCCGGACCAGGGCACGAACCCGTATCCCCTGCATCGGCAGGCGGACTCTCAACCACTGCGCCACCAGGGAAGCCCAGTTCTCAATTTTTAAGTCCCATTTTCTTATTAGAAGTTTGCATTTGCAGCCTCTTGTTTTTATATACTGTGAAGTCTTTCCCGTTGTTCATGATAATTTGGGGCCAAGGTATGAGAGGCATGCAGGCAGAAAACAGCACCAAATTCCCTCTTTGATTTAGGACTGGGTTTCTTTTCAAAATTCTGTTTTCCATATGTTGTCTAGGAAGACCTATGTGACCCGTAGGGCCTCTTCCTGGTGATGTCCCAATGCACTGGTTTCTAATATTGTACCAGCATGGGTGTGGGCGTCAGCTCTGTGGGGAGGTGACCCCATGCCTGCCATGCTTGAAATACCTCCCTGCTCTTGCCTGTATCATCGTTATTGTTGACACGTATGGGTGCTACCTTCATATCTGAAAGTAGACTTATAGCAATTATTAGGTGCTCAATGACTCAACATCCCTAAGTGCTAATCTAGAATGGTGGTTATAGAAACCTACTTAGAGAGGGGCAGAAAAAGGACCTGCAAGGTGGCTGGGGACAGAGGCATGCAGTTAATTTCACACGATACTAGGTTAACAGTTCACAAAGACTTGCAGGAGGGGAGTGAATCAACATTTATCACAGTGAAGTGAGCATCCTACTTTTTCACACACATGTAAACCTACTATACGTGGCATCTGACACCGTTCTTGTTAATACAGTTTGTGCCAGATGTGTTACACTCTACATCATCTCTTTGAATTATGAGAAATTCTCATTGTTATCCTCGTGTACAGATGAGGAAAATGAGGCTTAGAGAGAGTGAAGTATGTGCTCATATCACACAGCGTGTCCAAGGCAACGCTGGGATCTGATTCTGGATTCGTGTGGCCAAAAGTCTGAAGCGTTCTCTTGCACCAGAAAAATGAATAGTCGTTTTTTCTTTCCTGTATAGCTCAAGCAAATTCCATGCAGAGCTCCAGAAAGGTAAAAAAGGTGAGGTTGAGGGGCCTCCCTGGTGGCGCAGTGGTTGAGAGTCCGCCTGCCGATGCAGGGGATGCAGGTTCGTGCCCCAGTCCGTGAAGATCCCACGTGCCGCGGAGCGGCTAGGCCCGTGAGCCATGGCCGCTGAGCCTGCGTGTCCGGAGCCTGCGCTCCGCAACGGGAGAGGCCACAACAGTGAAAGGCCCGCGTAACGCAAAAAAGTGAGGTTGGGGAAAAAGTGCAGAGGGCAATGGAAGTAAGCCCCACCTGACCACTCTAAGCTGGAAGTAAGGTTAGCAGGGATATGGGTGTGTGTGTGTGTGTGTGTGTGTGTGTGTTTTGGAATCATAGGAAGTTGTCCTGCTGGAACCAATTGCCACACCCCACCCAGGCTTCTGTGCCTGCTCCCACAGGCCCCATCCAAAACAGGCTTTGGTCTGGCTCTCCCTTCTCTGAGCCAGTGGAAGTGGAAAGCGGGTAGTGTGCTCACAGAGGCTGGTGGGCGAGGCGCAGCCAGGCTGAATTTGAACCTAATCACTGTTATGATAACAAAAGAAAATGAAGTGTCTTGAGGATATTATCTTCCTACAGAATAGAAAAGAAGTCTTCAGAAAAATAATAGAACATTCTGACACGTCTATTTTCAGCACTCAACAAATATTTAGCCCTGCTAAATAAATTTAGCGTGGTACCCGGCACTATTCTGTACACTGAGGGTGACTCTGGAAGCAGATGACTATGACCTTATGGAATTTAAGTTTGGAGATTTGAGTGGTTGAGTATTAAGTGTAGTGACTTTAGTATATGGGGCTAATTTTAGTATGTTGAGCTAATTTTCCCCCCACTTGAATCCCTCAAAATGTTGTGGGTTTTTTTTTTTTCTGAATATCTGTCCCTATTTTAAAAACGGTTTTTAAAAGCTTGAATGAATATCTATTCATGAATAGATAGATAGATATAATAGATAGATAGATAGATATAATAGATAGATAGAATAGATAGATATAATAGATAGAATAGATAGATATAATAGATAGATATAATAGATAAAGCATGAATATCTATTCATGAGTTTTAACATTTTAAAATTTTATACTCCATCAGCTGCTGGTTTTAATGCTTCCTTATATTCTTCCAGAGATATTTTATTAAGTTTATAGACAATAAAACTAATTAAGCATCATGTGTGGAAAACAGCATATGTACTTTTTTTTTTTAAAGTTCACCACAAAAATACACAAAAAGAAAAATGGTCCTTATTTTAGGCACCCTATTGTCTGTAAGTGAGAAACAAAAGACTACAAGATGTATTCTTTGTTTAAATAGATCATGTGCAGACATTCAGGAAGCTAATTTTCATTTAAAAGCTCAACTATTTTTTTTTTAATTTTGAAGCATTTTTAAATCTAGGTGCAAGGAATTTTACGGGGCAAAGGCGCCAAGGAGCTTTGCTTCCAGAGTCAAGGGATGGTGGCTGTACAGAACTCTCAGATAGGCTGGTAGAATACCTGTCATTCCCTTCCTTAAAGCTTTTCAGTGACTTTTCCGTATCTTGAGGCTCAAGTTGAAGGTCTTTTGCCAGGGGGCGCGCCCCGCGGCCTGCGGGATCTTAGTTCCCCGACCAGGGATCGAACCCCCACCGCCACCCCTACACCCCTTTCGGCAGTGAAAGCGCAGAATCCTCACCAACCACTAGATGGCCAGGGAACTCCCAAAGGCAGCATAACCTCTGTGACCCAACTTCCCCTCCTGCCCCGCCCCATCTCTCTACCCTCAGTTCTTTTTTTCTGACACCTCATACTTCATGTCCCAGCAACTACTTGGTCCTGCACACTTCTGCGATTTTCACTTAAATTTTTTCTGGTGGCTTTTTATGATGTCTTCTCTGGGCCACCCTTCCTATCATCTCTCTCTGACTAATCCCATTCATCCTTTGTAACCTTCCTTGGATGTCACCTCCTTCAGAAGCCATGCCTGATAACCCACCTCCCAGATGGTTGGTACGCCAGCTCTGGGTTCTCCTATATTCCCTGACACTGCTGCCAGCATTGAATTATAATTACCTGCTAAGTGAAAATTTCCTCTGCCCTTCCTCCGCAGTGTTTGGGTTCCTTAAGGGTGGGAAATATGACATCCATTTTTATCTTCCCCGTCACTACCCCGACACTGCGACCTATCACTGTGCCTGACTTGAAGATACGGGTACAGTGCTGGATGCTCATGGGTTGGGTCTGGGGAGGGGCTGGATGCTTATGAGAGGATCAGAGGGTGGTGCCCCCTACCTGGGGTGGGTAGGGTGGAGGTCATTTTTGACAGAATTAGAGAAACAGTGGGTAAGTTACTGCTTGAATGTCCAGTTCCATAATAGCTAGGCCAACAAATGATACCGGTAAAGATAAAGATATCCAATACCTTGTAGAATTCGCAAGAGTTCCAGTTGAAATGTTAAGAGGGCAGAATCCTTCCTTAGAACATCTGGTTCCCAGGTAGCCAACCTGGGAACAGGTTGGCCCATCATGCCCTTAATTCTGATGGCCAGAGAAAGCACTGGTACCCTATGTGAACGCCTCCAGTTAGTTTCTGTTTTACCTGCACCTGGTTTGAGATTCTTCCACTACTTGGCACTTACCCAACCCTGCTGTTTGTCCCATTCCTGGCCTACTCTCGGTTCCTGCGGTGGGCTTCTTCTGTTTGAATTTGACCTTGAGTGCCCCTTAGCTACTGGCTTGGGGCAAAAAAAAACGTGAGCTAAGGAAGTGAAAGGTTAAGGAAAGACAACAATAGAAAGAAACTTGAGAAACATTTCTCCAGGTGTAGCTCTCAGCAAATGTAAACACTGAGTTATTTGGAAGGTATGTGTTGACGAAAGGTTACCTGGGACTTAAATCTGGGTGGGGCTGGATCAGCCCCAGGGTTTTTCAAAGTATGTGTTGTGTTCTCTGTACATCAGCCTAAATTTACAGTTCAGTTTC